GCCGGGCCCCGCGCTCCTCCACGCGCCCCCGGGGAGGAGGACGGGGCGGCCGCGCCCTGCCCTGGCGCCTGTGTGTGCGTCCCCGAGTCCCGGCACAGCGGCTGCGAGGGCCGCGGCCTGCAGGCTGTGCCCCGCGGCTTCCCCAACGACACGCAGCTCCTGGACCTGAGGAGGAACCACTTCCCCTCGGTGCCCCGAGCGGCCTTCCCCGGCCTGGGCCGCTTGGTGTCGCTGCACCTGCAGCACTGCGGCATCGCCGAGCTGGAAGCGGGCGCCTTGGCGGGGCTGGGCCGCCTGATCTACCTCTACCTCTCCGACAACCAGCTCTCAGGCCTCAGCGCTGCTGCCCTCGAAGGGGCCCCTCACCTAGGCTACCTGTACCTGGAGCGCAACCGCTTCCTGCAGGTGCCCGGGGCTACCCTGCGCGCCCTGCCCAGTCTCTTCTCCCTGCACCTGCAGGACAACGCTGTGGACCGCCTGGCACCTGGGGATCTGGCCGAGGCACGGGCCTTGCGTTGGCTTTACCTGAGTGGAAACCGCATCACCCAAGTGTCCCCTGGGGCGCTGGGCCCTGCTCGGGAGCTGGAGAAGCTGCACCTTGACAGGAACCGGCTGCGAGAGGTGCCCACTGGAGCCTTGGAGGGTCTGCCTGCCCTCCAGGAGCTGCAGCTCTCCGGGAACCCACTCAAGACCCTGCGAGCTGGGGCCTTCTCACCTATGGGCAGGTCGCTGCAGCACCTCTTCCTGAACAGCAGCGGCCTGGAGCAGGTGGGCACGTGGTGTGTAGAGGGTGGAAAGAGGCAGCACAAGGCCATGTGCAACATGCATTCACTCAACAAGCATTTGCCACCCCCTTGGTGCCAGGTTCTAGGTTGGGCATGGGGACCCAGAGATAAAGCAGACACTACACCTGCCCTTGGGGAGGTAGGTGTGGGTGACAGGCCAGGCAGGATCCAGTACTACACAACTAGAGGGTGCCCAGGGAGAGCACTGCTGGAGTATAGAGGATAGAGGAATTTGGGACCATGAGGTCACTTGTTTGCACACATTGAGCTCTCAAGAGGTTTTGCCATGATCTAGGCATCTAGGCGACTTAGAGCAAGTGCTTTGCCATCCGACCACCCAGGATTTTGACCCCAGGACTGCACTTTCTACCTGGACCACCTTGGGCTCTCTAATTCCCCTTCTGCTGGGAAGATGGGGTTCCTTCCTAGACCTGGGGGTAGGACAGGTCTGCCAGGAGCACACATTAGGGCGTGGCATCTCTTTGCAGATTTCTCCTGGGGCCTTTTCAGGCCTGAGTCCCAGGCTCCAGAGCCTGCACCTGCAGAAGAACCAGCTTCGGACCTTGCCTGCCCTGCCCAGTCTCAGCCAGCTTGAGCTCATTGACCTCAGTGGCAATCCCTTCCACTGTGACTGCCAGCTGCTCCCACTGCACAGGTGGGCACCCTCACCTGGACCCCAAGCCAGAGACCCACTGGCTCCTGTTATTAAGCCCCTGCCATCTCCCTGGGGTACCATGTCTGTGCCCAGTTGAGGCAGGTCCTGTCAGAGTCAGGCATGAATGAGCCCTTCCTAGGGGGACTGTGACTTTTTACCAACTAACTTTGGAAGTCACATAACCTCTGTGCCCATCAGTCAAAAGAGGAATGAAGTATCTACCTCATGATAGTTGTTATAAGAATTAAAGTAGACAACACCCTTGGGTCTCCTCCCACTGTGGGAGCTTTTCTGTCTTCTCAAATCCTGCTTTCTCAAAAAAAAGAAAAAAGAAATTAGTGCTGGGCACAGTGGCTCACACCTGTCATCCCAGCACTTTGGGAGGCCAAGGTGAGAGGATTGGCTAAGCCCACGGGTTTCAGACCAGCCTAGACAACATGGCGACACCTCGTCTCTAAAATAAATCAAAAAATTAGCCAGGCATGGTAGTGCATGCCTGTAGTTCCAGCTACTCGGAAGGCTGAGGTGGAAGGATCACCTAATCCCAACAGATTGAGGCTGTGGTAGCTGTGAGCATGCCACTGCACTCCAGCCTGGATGACAGAGTGAGACTCTGACTCAAAAAAAAAAAAAAGAATTAGTTAGCATGTTATGAATTGAAGAGTGTGTGGCACATCATAAGCCCTCTATAAATGTTTGTGACTTGTAGGTCACATACTTGGTGAGCTACTGAGCCAGAACTCTCAGCAGAGCCTGCTGTCACTCACAGGCCACTCTGCCCCCAAATTCCCAATGACCTCTTTGACCTCCTTAGAAAAGCTCTCAGTACAAAGTCAAACAAGTAGGCTATCCAAACTCTCTCATCTCTCCAGGTGGCTCACTGGGTTGAACCTGCGAGTAGGGGCTATCTGTGCTACCCCTCCCAGGGTCCAGGGCCAAAGGGTGAAGGCTGCAGCTGCTGTCTTTGAAGCCTGCCCGGGATGGGCTGCCAGGAAGGCCAAGCGGACACCAGCCTCCAGGCCTGGCGCCAGGAAAACCCCCACCAAGGGAAGAAAGTGGGGAGCAAATAAGGTTGGCCATGGGCTGGGTGGGCCAGATTCCAAAGCCTCCCAGGGGGTGTGACCTGGCTTGGTTCCGATTTATGTGGTTCCAGAGCTGGGCAATGACCCTGTTGCATCCGTTCCATAATGTCCAACCTCCTCTCCTCACCTCCTCTACCTCTGGGCCAGGCCCAGGTTTGGTTTGTAAGGAAATGAATGTATATAATTTCTGTGGGAAGTGGCCTTTCCTATAAGCCACAGCATGCTGGTCCCAGTATGTCCCTAAAATCAGTCCTGCTAGGCCAGAGCGTAGTGGTTCAAGCCTGTAATGCCAGCACTTTGGGAGGCTGAAACAAGAGAATTGCCTGAGTTCAGGGGTTTGAGACCAGCCTGGGCAACCTGGTGAGACCTCGTCTCTACAATAAATCAAAAAATTAGGCAGGGAGGTAGCATGCGCCCACAGTTCCAGCTACTTGGAAGGCTGAGGCAGAAGGATCGCCTGAGCCTAGCAGGTCGAGGCTGCACTGGCTGTGCGCATGCCACTGCACTCCAGACTGGGTGACAGAGACTCTGACTCAAAAAAAAAATTGGCTGGGTGTGGTGGCATGTGCCTATAGTTCCAGCTACTTGGAAGACTGAGGCAGAAGGATTGCCTGAGCCCAGCAGGTCAAGGTTGTGGTGGCTGTGAGCATGCCACTGCACTCCAGCCTGGGCAACAGAGTAAGATTCTGACTCAACCCCGCCCCCAAAACCCAAAATATATTAGAGAGTCAAGAAGGACTTGGACAGAAAGAAAAGGCAAACCAGAAAGTACTGTTACCCCTTCTTCTCCCTCCTAGATGCTGGTGAAGGGGGGAGGAGCCCCCTTTAGGGCCACCTCAGCCAGTAGGGGTGACCACACCCTATGTCATACCTGACCGTGGCTAACAGGGAATGAAAATGACAGGTCTAACCCAAGCTACATGGGCCAAGCCCACCATCCAGTCCTGTTGTTCTAGCATCTAGCAGCCTGGCTGAGCACACACCAGGCCGAGCACACACCAGGCCAAGTCCACCATAGGGGACACAGGCCCCTGCAAGACTCCCCACTACTCTTCCTTATAGGAATTGGAGTCAGTGCTCATGGCAAAAGAGAAAACAGCTCAAGGCCATCTCACAAGTCACTAAAACCCACTTCCTGGTCACTGCTTCTTGGCTGCCCACCAGAGCTGGGTCTCTATGTGTGTCCCCAACACCCCTGGGGTGCTAGGAGAGCAGAGCACCAACCCTGGAGGCAGAGGCATTCTGCTTGGTTAGGTTTTTAGGCAGGGCTGCGCCTATCACACCACTCACTGTCAGTCAGGGGACCTTATCCTGCTCAGAGCTGCTCCAGAACTTTATTTACATGACTCGCTTGAGCAGACACACACAGTTCTGTCTGCCCTCCAGTGTGACCCAGATAGCCCCACCCCTGGCAACAGAGGGTTTGGTGGAGGCTTCTATAAGGGGAAGCAGCATGAGCAGTTGGTGTTTCAGCTTCGGCAATGCTGGCTGTACAGGGAGTCGTTCACAGAACAGTTTGGGGTCTCCGGCAGCCCCAGTCATGTAGGCCTTGCCAGAGGAGGGCACAGGAAACTCAAGGTGGGTCCTCCAGTACCCAGTCTTCACAGTACCAGGCAGGATTTACACACAGAGAATCAGCCTCCAACTAAAGTAAGGTAGAACGTGGTGGTGATAGAGAAGCCCAGGATCTGCACTCTCCTTAATAGCCCTGGACTGGTTTCCAGCTAGGGGCTAGGCTGGCGGCAGGAAGGCTCAGTCATCTGTCTCCTGCTTGATGTTCTCAACGGGGACGGGCAGCTCTGGACTCGAAGACTTAGCTGGCGAGGCCATGTCCAGATGCTCTTCCTTCACACGCACGGCAATGACTGAAGAGGGAGGAGAGGTGGGTGGGTGGGCAGGGAGAGCAGAGTGAGAGAGCAAGTAGCTCCTGGAAGGGTGAGGACACAGGACCTAGGAAAGGGACCTGGCTTCCTACAGAAGGGGGCCCTCAGAATGCACCTTTACCTCCTGCTCATCCTTTGGGAGGACAGCAGCAGCAAAGGCCCAGGGTCCCAGGCACACCCGAGTCAGGTAGGCTGTGCCAGAGATACTGGCATCTGCCAATCTGTCACCATCCTGCCAAGCGTGGGCCAGGGTACCTGGCTGGAGAGGGGCTCAGCTTGATCAGAGTTGGGGGGTAGGTGTTTGGGAAGCACTCTGGGTCCAGTGGTACAAGGACTGCTTCGTGCAAAGAAAATTCCCATCAAACTTGACTCTACTCTTCTGTGCCCAGGTGGGGAAGGAAAGGGGTCGCCTCTGAGCAGAGCAGGCCGGTCCTGCCTCCGCCCAGCCTGATGGCTCTTACTCTCATCAGGAACAGGCTCCGATGAGGTCTTCGCCGCAACCTGCAGGTCATCCTCCAGCAGGGGCTTCTTGGAGCCCTGTCTGAGGGTCCGTGTCTTGGTCGGCGGGACTCTTTTCCCTTTGAATAAAAAAAATGGACTCAACCCAACATTAGTGTCCTTTCTATGTGAGGCTTGATGGGCTGGGTCTCACCCCATGGTCAGGCGGCATGGCAGAGGGAAAAGTACCAGTTTGGAGACAGAAGGCCTGAACTCCAACTCTTTGTACAGGCATGTGCCACCACACCAGCTAATTTTTGATTTATTGTAGAGACGAAGTATCCTCAAGTTGCCCAAGCTGGTCTTGAAGCCCTGAGCTCAGGCAATCCTCTCGCCTCAGCCTCCCAAAGTGCTGGGATTACAGACATGAGCCACTGCGCCTGGCTGGACTCCAATTCTGACAACACCCCTTAGTGGCTGTGTGGCTGGAGGTTAGAAAGTCTCTCCTGTGGGGGATTAGTAACACCGCCTCTCTCAAGAGCCAAGACTCAGAGCAATTGTGGTTAGTCTCCTTTTCCTTTTTGAGTTGGAGTCTCACTCTGTTGCCCAGGCTGGAGTACAGTGGCACACTCGCGGCCACCACAGCCTCGGTCTCCTGGGCTCAGGCAATCCTTCCGCCTCAGCCTTCCAAGTAGCTGGAAGCACAGGCACGCATGACCATGCCCAGCTAATTTTCTGATTTATTGTAGAGACGAGGTCTCACCATGTTGCTTAGGTTGGTCTCAAACCCCTGAGCTCAAACAATCCTCTTGCCTCTGCCTCCCAAAGTTCTGGGATTACAGGCGTGAGCCACCACACCCAGTTAGTTTCCTTTTTCTCTTTTTTTTTTTTTGAATCGGAGTCTTGCTCTGTCACCCAGGCTGGAGTGCAGTGGCATGCTCACAGCCACTAAAGCCTCGACCTGCTGGTTTCAGGCAATCCTTCCGCCTCAGCCTTCCAAGTAGCTGGAACTATAGGCATGCGCCATCACACCCAGCTAATTTTTTATTTATTGTAGAGATGAGGTCTCACCAAGTTGCCCAGTCTGGTCTCAAACTTGAGGGCTAAGGCAATTCTCTCACTTTGGCATCCCAAAGTACTGGGATTATAGGCATGAGCCACCGCACCCAGCCTCGTTTCCTTTTTCAATCTTTTATTTCTTCCTGAAACATGCAACATTCCTGGTCCTACAGTTTTGAATGGCACAGAGCCTCCAGCTGCTTGATAAGTGTCATATTCTCACTTCATCTTAATCCTGCTCAGGGACTGTTTCCACTTTGTCCTGTTTCAGGACGTCTTCTTCCCTGCGCGGTGCCACTTAGTGGAGACCATGTCCCTGTCCCAGGCCTGTGACTCTGAAGGACAGCTTTGCTCTTTCCTCTTCTGCCCCTGAACTGAGCCGACACTGGGCTCAGGATCTGTCGAGTGAGGCCCTGCTGGAGGAAGTGACACCAACAGCCTCCAACTGCCAGGTGGAGTCCAGTCCAGCCTGCCTTTGCTCCCACCCTCAAGGAGGTTGCAAGGGAAAACAACAGCCTTGCAAAGACAGCTTCTATTTCTTTCTGTGTCTCCTTCAGAACCTGGCAGCTGTAGATTGCTAAGGAGGCCAGGCTGTTTTTTTAGGCCATGGGACAGCAGGGATGGGGATCCCCCTCACCTCTCTCAAATATAATCTATGATCTCTTTTCCTCAGCATCCTGCCCATTGCCAGACAGAGAACATTCCCTATTCATGTTCTGTGTCCCCAAAGACACAGGGTGAAAGGGCAAGGCAGAGGAGATGGGATGGGCCACAAAGAGAGCTATATCAGTGGGGCAGCACCTGGGAACTGGCACCCGGGGCTGACCCCCACCACTGCTTCCAGGCCCCACACCTGCCTGGCCACTTTGGAACATCACTTACTTTTCTTCCCAAACTGTTTCTTTTTTTTCTTTGTGGCCTCTTTGGCCTTCAGAGGTGTGGCTGGTTCTGTTGTTAAAAGACAAAGGTGAAAGAGATGAGAAGATAGTTATGGGAGGACACAGGGTACAGGTGCATCCTAAGACCTTGTCCACCCTCCCACACAGGATGCCCATGACAGGAAGCCAAAGTGGGGTGATGAAGACAGGGTGGGACTGGGAGAGGAGCTGTTCTCCAGCCCCTCCTCTACCCTTGTCACCAGGGCAGCCCAAAGAGACCTGGGTAGTTTACCTGGGTGCACAAGGGCACAAGCAAATGACAGAGTGAGCAAGATGAAGGAAGGAGCTCTGCAGGCCAGAGGGAGAGGGAGACAGAGAAGTCAGGAGCAAGGGCAGGGAGACAGGACTCACTCTCTACTTGGAGTGGTCCATGAACCTTCTTGAGCTCATGCCAAAGAACTAAGGTGGGTATGCGGGTCAGGGCAGGAAGGAAAAATGAAGTGGAAAGAAATTCAAGAGCCACTAGGGCCGCAAGAGCCCAGACCTGCGGCCACAGGCGGCTGGAGCTGGTAGCCAGTTAGCTCACACCAGCCAACGGGGTAGATGTCTGGGGACTCGCAGTCCACCCACTGGTCATATTCGCTGTCCCAGCCATCAAAGTGGATGCTGAGGAGCCGATGCACCACCCGTTTCACTGTGGCCACGCAGATGAGCCGGGGCTCCATCAGGTCCACAGCCTCTAGCTTCATGCCCACCTTGAAGCCGTGGTTGGGGCAGTCCTGGGGTGGAGGAAGAAGGCAGTTGTCAAGCCAGCCAGTTCCCTGCCCCAGCAGGCTTACCAAAGGGCACTGGCAGAAACTGGGGGTGAGGGGCTGGCACCAGAATGCCTGCAGTGGCAGGTTCCTCTGGTCAACAATCCCATGGCACATCTCTCCCAAGCATGAGCCCCTCTGTGGAAACTCCCCCCTGGAAGTAGCTGATGTCAGCAGTAGGGACCCGAGAGTAATGGCTGGAATTTTTACTGACAGCAGTGGGCAGAGGGTCAGTCCTGCAGGCCCCTTGCTCTGTCTTAGATCTCCTCACCATATTAAAGAGTCTTGATGGAGCAGCTTTCGACTTGGTCTTCTCCAAGTAGGTCTCCCAGTTGAAAGTCTGTGTCTCATACCCTGGAGGAGCAAAATGCTTAGATGCAGAGGGAGAGGAGGGGAAACTGGAAGTAGGTCATGAGAGGGAAAGGAACACACTGCCAAAGGGGCACTGCAACTCCATTAGCAGCCTTCTTCTCTCCTCTTCATGCTGATATCTGCTGTAGAACTATGGTACTGACGTACAGGTTGTTCACTACCCAAAGGGACAAGTGAGAGCTCTGTTTACCAATCACACACCAGCCATGGGGCCGAGTCAGCCCTGGCATTTAAGGGTTAGTGGTGGCCCTAGGTGACTGTCACCTCTTCCACACACGTTCTTCCAAACCCCAGGGGTCTGACTTAACCAGGAATCTGGGTCTGTGGCCTCACACTTTCGTTCTGGGTGGTGGCTTCTCTAGTCTTACCTTTTGGGGGTGTGAGCTCAGTGTCATTCTTCTGGCAGAAAGTAGCTGGGAAGATGGCGTGGGAGGAGGCGTGGTAGCAGAACCAGTCAGAGCCATCTGTGGAGGGCCCCCCATCCACACAGATCATCAGGTAGCCGTCCAGGAGAACCTGGGGGAGGGGTGGGGCAGACAGTGAACATCATATCCAGGGCAAGGGGACATATCCAAGGCAGAAGGATGCAAACGACCTAGAGCTCAGTCCTCCCAGAACACCCTGCACTTCTCCTCCAGAGCTCCCAGTACTTCTATGACATATACTTGTGAGATTATTTATCCTCCCCACATGACAACAAATGCCATGCCAGCAGGGACTCTGTGTCATTACTACTGTGTTCTCACACATGCCCAGCATGGAGAATTCCTGAATGGTCAAGTCAGTAGCAGTCTTCCAGTGGGGCCAAAGGAAGATGGTTGTTTGCTCCTCAGGCTGTGGCAATAATGGATGAGGTTTGGAGCAAAGTGAGTCTGGCTGTGGATCTCAGGTAGGTCAGCACTCCAAGGAGATGGCATGCAGCAGGAGGACCCCAGTGAGGTGATAGGGTGGGCTGACACAGGACAAAGCTCAAGGTTTAGTAAGCACCTATCCAATGAGCCTTGGACCCTGACATGAAAGCAGATTCTGAGCAAGGAGCAGGTAAGGTTCCTAATCACAAGTCAGGTACGCTGGAAGCAGCCATTGTTGAGAAGGTAGAATGAATGTCCCCTTGGCTGCAAGAGCCCCTGATGGTGGAAAGCAGCTCTGCACCACACTGGTCCCCTTAGAAAGTCATGCTTGCCAGGCATGGTGGCTCACACCTGTAATCCCAGCACTTTGGGAGGTAGAGGCGAGGACTGTCTGAGCCCAAGGGTTCAAGACCAACCTGGGCAACATGGTGAGACCTTGTCTCTACAAGAAACTAGTTGGGCATGGTGGTGTGAGCCTGTGGTATCAGCTACTTGGAAGGCTGAAGCAGAAGGATCACCTGAGCCTAGCAGGTCGAGGCTGTGGTGGTCATGATTGTACCACTGCACTCCAGCCTGGGTGACAGAGGGAGACTCTGACTCAAAAAAAAAAGAAAAAAGCCATGTTGGAGGTAGAGGGCCAGCCTCAGGCTCACCTTGCAGATGGTTGCTACGCAGATGTTACCCAGGTTCAAAGGGTCAATGGCCTCCAGCTTCATCCCCTCCTCAAACCAACCGCCTTCTGTATAGACAGCTCGTACCTTAAAAGAATGGGACAGCTGGGGAAGCTCTGGGCAGGTTGGGGGGAGGGCGGGGGAAGCAGGTTTCATCTACTATTGGCCTGGGGACAAAACCAGATGGAAAGGAATAATCCCAGAAAGAAGCCAGGGTCCTCAGGTCTGGAATGGACCTATGGCCAAGGGGAAAAGAGGTCAGGGGCTATGCCTCACCTTCTTTTTTTTAATGTAATACTTTTAAAGTTATTTTTATTTTAGATACGGGGGGATGCATGCATGTTTGTTACATGAACATATTGTGTAGTGGTGGGGATTGGGTCTCAAGTGGCCCATTCCTCAGATAGTGAACACTGTGCCCTGCAGTTAGTTTCTGAACCCTAGCCCTCCCTCCCCACTCCCCACTGGTGTCCTCGGTGTCTATTATTTCCATCTTTGTGCCTTACCTTCTTGAATAGGTAAGGAACGGCATCACAGTAGATTTTCCGGAAGGTGGGATGATGAGCCATGTCACTTCGTCTCTCTTTTGAGGAAATGGTGAAGGGAGAGAGGAAAAGAAGGGAGTTGAAGGCAGTAGACAGGACCAGCTCCATGCCTCCCCAGGAACGTGAGGCTGCTCTACACATGCTCTCGGCTGTATCTCAAAACCCTTCACTCCAGATCGGCAGACAGTGGGTTGAGTCCAGAAAACATCAAGAGCTTTCAGTAGAGACTACTCAGTTCTTGAGACCCAAACTCTTCCCACATGACATGAAAGAGGATTGGGGCTGGTAACATGTGGGTTCAAATCTTGATTTTGTATAGGCTCGATGGCTCAGCCTGTAATCCCAGCACTTTGGGAGGCTAAGGCGAGTGGATTGTCTGAACCCGTGGGTTCGAGACCAGCCCAGGTGCCTTGGCGAGACCTCGTTTCTACAATAAAATCAAGAAATTAGCCGGGCGTGGTAGCACGTGACTGTAGTTCCAGCTGGAAAGCCGAGGCGGAAGGATCGCTGGAGCCCAGCGGGTCAACACTGGGGGCTGGCCGTGAGTGTGCCACTGCACTCCAGCCTAGGTGACAGAGTGAGATTCCAACTCACACACACACACACAAATTCTTGATTTTTACCACTTATAAGTTAAGTTAAGTGACCCTGGTCAAGTCACTTCAGCTCCCTGGAGCTCAGAACCATCACCTATGGGGTGGTCATGCTCATCTCTACCTCCCAGCACTGTTGCCTGGGGTAGAGAAGATGCTCCCGCCCAATCCTTGGGGAAGCAGAACCCAGGGTCTCTCTGGCCTGGGGCTCTGCTAACCTGACATCTTGATGCCGTGGCCAACACGCCGTGACCAACCCACTGGGTGGATCAGGGGGCTCCACATGTGGCACCAAAAGTCATCATCACTGTCACCATCCTCGTAGAGGAGCCGTAGTCGACCCCCAATGACTGTGTCCACCACAGCCATGCGGGTTCGTGACACTTGGGACTTGTCCACCACCTCTAGCCGCATGCCTTGCCGAAAGGGGTACTTCATGCTTTCCACCATCTGCAATGACATCAGGACACAGGCCTTCTGTGACCATGGGCTCCTCCCAACCCCCTTCCTGCTATCTCTTTACAGTGAGTGATGGAATCATCCCATGCAGTCAGGAGGCGGGCAGATGAGCCTGCCTGTGCTGCCAGACTCAGATGGTCCCTGATTTCCTAGCATGAAATAGAGGGAAGTCACACAACTCACAACAGTGCCACTTCTCATCACTAAAACACCAGTAAGTAAAGATGATGCAAATCACAAAACCCGTTTTAGTCCACGGAAACTCAAGTAACCCAGTGATCAACTGAACTTCCCAGAGTAACATAGACTAATGGCAGAACTAGGCCTTGAGAACTAGAACTGGTGTCTAGTTTGTGCTCTTCACAGGCTCCGCACTCTGATCCCCAGACACCCCGCACTCCTCCTTCCTCCCAGCCCTCTGCAGATGGCACACACAAGGCTCACGTCCAGAGAACTGAGGCTCCTTGTGTCTCTGACCCAAAGAAGGGACAGTGACCAAGATGTCCTTGAGCTTCCCTAGAGAGTCACAGTGGTGGAGGTTAGGAGATTCTTTTTTGTTCACTGTGACTTAGGTGCTGTCCTGCTTGGAGTAGGCAATAGGTGTGATTTAGGGCTTGGTCAGGGAGAATCAGCCCAGCCCACACTGAGGATTGCTATTTCTAAACACACCAGGAAGAGAAGCACTTTGGAGGTCCAATAGCCACCAGACAAAGGTGACACAAGAATCCTAATCAGCCAGATCCCTCAGCCCCAGCTCAAGGACTAGAATACATTCTGATACCAACTGCCTGTCCTATGTCCTACATCACAGCTCCTCCTTGAGGAGAGTGAGACAGTACAGGGTGAGGGCTGGTTTGGGGTCTCCCGGGCCACCTTCTCTGCCATGCTCCCTACCTCTATGGCTACCACAGTGAAACCCACAACCCAACCACACTTTATTGCCCTTATTTGTTTAGGATAACACTGCAAAACTTGAGCCCTATAAGGTTAGAAGCTAGGACTGATTCATTTCTACATTCTCAGCTCTGAGCACAGAACTAGGTACAGAGTTAGTGCTCAGGTGATTTCTTCCAAATGATTGAATGCACAAATACATGCTCAAACACCTGATCTTCACTGATGGATCATTCATTCACTCAAAACATTCTCCTGAGCACTTACCACACTGCAGACATTGATGGGCCATGTCTGGATTGAAACTTCTTCGACAAACCCACTCCCTTCTCCCCTCCCCACTTCCAAACTCCAGAGAGGATTGACAAGTCTGGCCAGGTGCAATGGCTCATGCCTATAATGCCAGCACTTTGGGAGGTGGTGGTAAGAGGATTGCCTGAGCCCACGGGTTCAAGACCAGCCTGGGCAATGTGGCAAGATCTCATCTCTACAATAAGTCAAAAAATTAGCTGGGTGTGGTGGCACATGCCTGTAGCTCCAGCTACTTGGAAGGCTGAGGTGGAAGGATTGCCTGAGCCCAGCAGATTGAGGTTGCAGTGGCCATGAGCATGCCACTGCACTCCCGCCAGGGTGACAGATGACAGAGTGAGACTCCAACTCAAAAAAAAAAAGGGACTGACAAGTCAGCAGCTGAGTGCTTGCTTCCCAAGGGCAGGGCCTGGCAACATTCAGGCTGTGGTCTCCACATCAAAGCATGCTGTGCTTCAAGTTTCTTCATGAGGCAGTGAACTCCTGAGGATCAGCTCAACAGGCCTTTCTGGCCCTGTGCCCACAACTGCCTCACAGCGCCTTGCCATTCTCTCCCCAATGTCATCCTCTTGCTCCAGTCAGGGCTGGAGCCATCCCATTCTGCTTTTGTATCCTCTCCAGCGTGCACTGTGGGACTCAGTACATAAGAATCAGTACATGCTTGCTGCCTGGGTTACATGGAACCCTGCCTCTCTGCCCAGAATCATGCTTTTTTTCAAGTAAAGAAAAAAAGTCCACCTTGATGCCCCTAAGTGGTCTGTGCCACCTATCACCATCTCCCTTGTCCTAAGATAAGGGCAGGCTGAGAAAGAGTAAATTATCACCTCTAATCACCAAATCTGTTAATTGTGCAAGGCACCATGAGAAATACAGATGAAAAGGTTTAGTCATATTAGGAAAAGGATATGGAAAGATAATTAACAACATAGATAAATATCAAATTAATAGTATCCAAAAGTTCAAATAAGGGAAAAATCATTTTTACTTTGGGGGGAAAAAAGTCAAGGAATGCTTCTTTGAGGTGCTCTGAACCACTCCTTGCTGAAAGCTGACACTCCATGATGTGCAACCTTTTAACTCGGTGTTCAGTGCCCTGGGTAAGATGACCCCAACTTCCATTTGATCTTTATTTTTTACTTCCATACCACCCATGCCCTACTGATTAAAGACAAATGCCATTTTCTCCATGATGTCTTCCCTGATACCTGCTCCTCCTGAGACCACAAGGCCAGTTTAATTGTGTGTCCTGGTAGTACTTGCATTACATCACCCTGCACACTGCTGTGAGGCTTACCCAGGAAAGCATGAGAACACCAACATGAACACCTGGTTTAAAAGACCTCAGATGTGGTCCAGACACCTTTACAAGATGCCTGGCAAAGAGAGGTGGGAGAGTGTCTTTACTGTATACCCTTTTGATCCCTTTGATTTTTTTATTTTGAGATTTTTTTCTTTGAGTCAGTCTCACTGCTGCTGGAGTATAGTAGCACGCTCACGGCTACAGCAGCCTCAACCTGCTGGGCTCAGGTGATCCTTCTGCCCCACCCTTCCAAGTAGTTGAAACCACAGGCATGTGCCACCATGCCTGGTTAATTTTTTGATCTATTGTAGAGATGTGGTCTCATCAAGTCTCATCAAGTTGCCTCGGGCTGGTCTCGAACCCCTGGGCTCAGGCAATCTTTTTACCTCTATCTCCCAAAGTGCTGAGGTCTGTAATGTCACACCTGTAGTGCGAGTCACCACGGCTAGCTTGATTCTTTTTACCAAGTGCATATATGACTTTTATTTCTTGTTTTTTTAGTAGAGGTCTTGCTATGTTACCCAGGCTGGAGTGCAGTGGCACAATCACAGCTCACCACTGCCCTCAACCTCCTGGGTGCAGGACTTTCTAATTTAAAGAACTAAATAGCTTTTAAAATTAGAATGAGGCCAGGTGTGGTAGCTCTCAGCCTGTAATCCCAGCACTTTGAGAGGCCGAGGCGAGAGGATTGCCTGAGTCCAGAGGTTTGAGACCAGCCTGGGCAACTTAGTGAGACCTCATCTCTACAATAAACCAAAAATCAGCTGGGCAAGGTAGCATGCGCCTAAAGTTCCAACTACTTGGAAGGCTGAAGTGGAAGGATCACCTAAGCCCAGCAGGTCGAGACTACAGTGGCCTTAAGTGTACCACTACACTCCAGCCTGGGCAATAGAGTGAGGCTCTGACTAAAAAAAAAAAAAAAAATTAAATTAATGCCATACAGAGATTCTGAGGCACATCCCTGATTCAGAACCAAGGCTATTTTATAATTATTCATGTATACAACTCTAATGTCCTCCAGTAGACTGGAGATTCCAGAATAACAGTGCCTCTATATTTTGTATTCCCACGGTATCTTGTATACAAGTACTTAATAAAATCTATTGAGTGAGCACTCCTAAAAAAATGTCATGAGCAAAGGTAAGGATCTGAAAGAGCAAATGGCAGACAAAGCAACATGATCGACATGGCTGGAACAAAGAGTCTGGGTAGGGAAGCAGATAATAACCACCCTACGACAGGGTTCAACTCCATCCTCAGGAAACATGGAGCCGCTGAAGATCATCAAGCAAGGAGTCAGACAAAATACTCCAATGAGAAATAGGAAGGATGGAGAAAAACAGGAGCAAGGAGGGAAATCGCTTAGGAGACCCAAAGGGCTCACTGCCAGACCTTGATATGGAAATCCACGGGAAGAGTCCTGGAGCCCACCAGCCGTTTCATGAGGTAGCCCTTCCAGTCGGTGAACTTGGCATGGATGGCTGTGGAGACACCCGCAGAATACTGGTTGCCCAGACTGACAAGACCCCCACCAACAGGGGGCGCCAGAGCTAACCCAGCAATCCACAGAAGGGAATGAACAATTTATTTCTGCCTCTTCAATCTGGCAATGACTTCATCTTACAAAACCAAGCTCCACAACTTGGATCTGCCCTGGTGCCTCTGGGATAGGGATGGCAGAAAGCAAGGGGGCAAAGTAGCTTCTGTTCTAACAAGACAACGGACGTCCCCCTACAGGAACTAGGATAGGGAATGTTCTCATCAACTCACTCCGAGGTGGCACTAGGATCTTGCTGTTGATGGCACACCAGCCAATGGGGTGGACATCCACGGTTCCCAGGTTACACCAGAAGTCATGGCTGGCATCATTTTCAAAGCCTTCATACCGGAGCAGCACACGATACCCTGAAAGGAAAGAAAAGGGCATCCGTGAGGAAGGAGTAAGCTGAGAAAGGTATGATCTTAGGCCTTACTTCTTCTCTAGCCTGAGCTGGACTTCCCAGTGCCTATTCCAAGAATTACCTTCAGGCAAGTTACTCCTGTTGTCCACAACAGTCCTAGTCAAACAAATTCATGCTATTTATTTGGAAAGCACTAAGGCATGGTGTTGAGATTTTCTATATCCTGATCATCCCTGCAGTAAACTTTACAAATTGGAGTTTCCAAGCCTGCCAGACTGTGTGGTCCCCTCTACAGTAGAAGACTCCTAAGAAGAGGGGCTCCTAAGAGGAGGGGCAGAAACTCCATTGGGTAAGTTTGTTTATGCAGTCGGTTTCTGCCTTGATACTGCCTACCCGTCTAAAGATGTTACTCTCTAAACACATCCCTGCCGTGCTGTGGCTAGATGAACACCCACCTGCTGTCTGGATGACAGAGGCGATCCAGTACACCCGGCTGGGGAGCACAGCATCACTGTTGAGAACCTCCACCTTCATCCCCTTCATCACATCTTCCCACTGGTCATAAAGTGGGACCTGTGTGGTGATGAGAGCGTTAAGAGGGAGAATGAGCCCAGGTTGGTGAGGAATCATGATGTCCTTCTCTGCATGTCAACTTTTCATATCACCCATGGTGTGCAGAAAGTCAGGCATGGTACTGGGCATGAAGCGATGAGGTCTGCTGTCCTTGAAGAGCCAAGATGGAATGGGGGTGATAGGGGACAGGGTGATTGCTGAAGATTCAAAGTCAGATAGAACTGAGACAGAACTAAGTCCTAGTCTTTACAGGACCAGTTCCTAACTGTATCATTTTGGACACTTTATACCTTAGTGAGTCTCAATACTTCTGTCCCTCTATCAGCCTATGTAATAGTAATACTTTCCAGTATTCATCATGTGCCAGGTACTGTGTTCTTGGCACAAATACGATCTTCCTTCAGTTGTCACTGAGTATTATTACCCTCCTGTTTACACAAAGCCATCTGCCCACATGTTCTTTCTCCAACTCCCCTATTATTAAAATGCTCCATGACAGTACTGGACTGTTTTGGTTGCCTTCCCAATACCTAATCCTCACTCTTTTGCCAACAATATCCTGATTGTCTGGGCTGAGCACAGTGGCTCACATCTGTAATCCCAGTACTTTGGGAGGCTGAGGTGGGAGGATTGCTTAAGCCCAGGAGTTCGAGACCAGCCAGAGGAATATAGTGAGACCGTGTCGCTACAGAAAGTCAAAAAACTAGGCTGGGCTCAGTGGCTCAGCCTGTAACCCCAGCACTTTGGGAGACCGAGGCGAGTGGATTGCCTGAGCCCGTGGGTTTGAGACCAGCCTGGGCAAGTTGGCGAGACCTTGTTTCTACAATAAAAAAAAAAAAATTAGGTGGGCATGGTAGCATTCGCCTGTAGTTCTAGCTACTTGGAAGGCTGAGGCAGAAGGATGACCAGAACCCAACAGGTCAACGCTGGGATGGCCGTGAGAGCTTCCCACTGCACTCCAGCCTGGGCAATGGAGTGGGACTCCAACTCAAAAAAAAAAAAAAATGAGCTGGGCATGGTGGTATGTACCTGTAGTCCTAGCTACTTAGGAGGCTGAGGTAGGAGGATCACTTAAGCCCAAGAGTTTGAGTCTGTGGTGATCTGTGACCATGCCACTGTACTCAGTCTGGGTAACAGAGACCCCCAACTCAAAAAAATAAACAATAGTACTGATTGTCCTTTGGAGAAATTTACTTTTTTTCATTCTCATTCTTGGCTTAGCCCAGTTGGGGTATCATATTCCAACTCTCTAGTCACAGAGATTGGTTCATCTCAAAATTCTGGCCGGGCTCGGTTGCTCAGCCTGTAATCCCACGCCTTTAGGAGGCTGAGGTGAGTGGATTGCCTGAGCCCACGGGTTCGAGAC